AATGTGGACATTGGTACATTTGATATTGTGTAGACATTGATATAGTGTAGACATTATTGATTTCTTATAGTGCAGGCGCTGCTCATTTCATACCACTGGCCTGAGGTGGAAGAACTACATTGAATCAATAACTTCATCTACCAGAAGGAAAATTGGTTCTGTGTGTCGCGCCAGAAGGTTTTTCTCGTCTGAGTCGATCCTTCAAATCTACAAATCTACCATTTGTCCTTGCATAGAATACGGTTGCCATATATGGTCAGGTGATTTCGCTTTTCATCTCGAGGTTCTGGACAAAATCAAAAAGACGGATATGCAATGTCATAAGTCCTGATCTGGCATCTCGTCTAGAGTCACTTTCTCACAGACGTGATGTAGATTCCCTTTGTCTTTTCTAAAATATTTTCATGGCAACTACTCTGACGAGCTATTTTCACTGCCCCCTAACTATTTAAGCGTGCTACTAGGTTAGCATCTCAGTCCCTCCTTTTCACTGTCGAAACAGTTAAATGTAACCGCCTCTTCTACTCCAACAGCTTCTTCTCTCGCACTTCCCGACAGTGGACCCCAGTCCTCTTAATTGCTTTCCTGATAACTGTAATCTTCAATAATTTAAATGTAATGTCAATCGGCATCCTCTGATGCCTTGACCTTGATTCCCGTCCTTCTCTTTATCCTTTCCTCAAACACCCCCCTTTACTTTTACTTTCACTTTCTCTAACCCCTTGGATGCTAGTGGCACTCCCGCTTTGCTTGCGGTGAAATGCTTAAAAAATGTAGTTTAGATATTGTTTATTGTTGTAGAGTAGTTTTCACAGTGGTGGCTTGTATTTCAATAAGTCGTCCTAAATTAGGTTCGACGTACAAAATGTTAGGAACTTGAAATAAGAGTTAATGACGCAGCAAATCTAGTTGTGATGGGTGGTACTTCAATATCCGATATCGACTGACTCGCTCAACACCACTGAGCCCAACTGGCGACCGCTACTACTACTACTACTACTACTACTACTACTACTACTACTACTTATAATGTGTGGGAGAGTCTATTAATAATAGAATAGGTACGTCAGGTATAACAGTTTATATAATATAGTTTGGACATTATTGTTTTCATACTGCACAGACACTGGTAGACAAATAAATATATCAATTCACTTTCATCATAAGATTAGGTTTTATTACAATTTTAAACACTGTTTTTAAAATAATAAACATTACCGTAGAGTGAAGTTAGTTAAAATAATAGAGGTGTCAAGGGGAAAACTGTCCTTTCGACATATCGTTTGTTTGCGGACAGGAACATTAAACATTGCTAGTGTTTTTATATAGAGTAGACATCGTTGCTTTTAAAATCTGTGTCACTTACATTTCCTCTCCAATTATTTATTTGCAAAGCGAAATCTTAAAGGTTTTCGTTTAGTTTGCCAATTAAATTCTTGACGAATAATTCTATCTTCACTTGTGGTAATTTCAGAAGAGATCAGCTATATCTAACAACACCAACTTCTCTCTCTCTCTCTCTCACTCTCTTTACCCATCTGTGAAGAACGCGTTAATTAAGTATCGCGACTTTTCTTCATAAACTCAATTAAACCGACCCATTACCAGAATATAAAGCTTTTCTGATCTATCTAACACAAAATCACACCTTTCATTATAATGCTTGTTCGTCAACTACCTGTCTATATTTCTGAGATGAGCTATACGTTATTTATTGATTATTATTTATTTATGGCACAGTGGATAAAAGCGTTAGTTAGATCCAGTGAGAGGACCCAAAGAGTGTGAGTTCAATACCTGGTTAAGGCGGTGGAGAACTTGGAGAGGGGAATTAACAGAAAATAACTGACATCCATTAGACATGGCACGTGGAACTAGAACAGTCAACCCCAGCGAGCGAAATAAAGGGTTCCAACCACCTCAAGAAGGCCGGAGCGTACAAAAGCCGAAACGTTGTGATAAATATGGAAACAAAGATGAGGATGGTAGTCCGAGCAATGTAAATAGTTGCTCGTCAACTGTTTGAACTTTTTCACCCCTTCGTTATTTCTTTCTCACTTTCTCTCTCTCTCTCTCTGTGTGTGTGTGTGTGTGTGTGTGTGTGTGTGTGTGCATATATATATATATATATATATATATATATATAAATCTCAAAATGTGTGTGTATGTGCGTGATCGGATGTTGTTCATGCGTTTCCACTGTTTTTATCCGATTTCGATAATTTTTTTTTGTTTGTGAGAGATAATTGTTCATTGCCGGTTTCGAATCCACATTGGTTGAAAAAAATTACAAACTTGAAGGTGAAAAATCGAAAAACTGATTTTTTAAAACTTTACGCCAAAAAACAAAGGCAAAATTTAATGCCTGTAAAAAAAAACACGTACAATCAATCTAGGGAATTGAAATCTAACGCAAAAGATTATTAGAATTATAAAAAAATTATATTATGAATAAAAATTATCGTATATTATTATTATGACGGTCCATGGAAGAGGTCCCTTCCTTGCAAGATTGACAACGCAAAGACGGCCCTTTTCAGCACCCCCGTTCAAACTGTTAACCCCCCTCCTAATTTGGGGACATGCCTCAGTTACACCCAATTGTTGTTACTAATATTGTTTTCCAGGTGGCCTGCTTTTAAGCATAATATGCTCCAATTGAACGGCAAATATCCCCAGTAATGAAACACCCGATCGAAGACTGGTTATAATGCTAATATATATATATATATATATATATATATATATATATATATATATATATATATATATATAAAGAGAGAGAGAGAGAGAGAGAGAGAGAGTACACCAAAAAATGTATGCACACTTGTCCTGGGTATAAACTACATCCGTTTCCTGGGTAAGACGATAAACTACGCCCGACAGCAAGGCCTCTGATCAGGAGGTTTTGAGGAGCGTGGAACCACCTCTTAATTGCTGACCCGGGGTGGTAGCACCTGTTAGGGTCCCGGCTATGGGCAAATAGTTAGCCCCCAAACTGGGGTCATAACACGGTGAAAGTGTAAAAATAGTTTTTAATCACAGCAATACATTAATATTACAAGCAATGAATTTTTAAGGAAAAAAATTTACCAGCAATGCATTTTTGAAGCAAAAAAGTATTACCAGCAATAAAAATTTTGTCGGAAATAAATAACGCATTGAAATTGATATGCCGTAAAGCAAACCAAACCAGTATACACATTTCACGTAAATTTAAAGTTATTCAGACATCAAGAGTTTAATACAGATAACCTTTGGATTCTACAATCACAAGAGATGCTCAAAATGGTGGCCTTTAGCTTGCAGACATTTATTAGTACGGTGATTTACTGCTTGGGCAACGTTGGCCAAAATGTCTACTGAGATTGCTGTATATGCATTTTGAATTTCTTGTTTAACGGCCGCCAATGTCGTCAGTTCTCTGCGATATACAATATCATTTAGAGTCCTCCATTGGTAAGTCTGAAAGCAACGAAAAACAAGTTTTCTTTTCTTGAAGTGTGTATACATTTATTTGTCTGTCTGTCTGTCTGTCTCTGTCTCTGTCTCTCTCTCTCTCTCTATATATATATATATATATATATATATACATATATATATATATATATATCACCTCATACACACACATATTATTATTATTATTATTATTATTATTATTATTATTATTATTAAACTACTACTAATACTCGATTGGAAAAAACCTCGGATAGCACAACTTGTAAATCTATCAAAACAAATTGGTACCCGAGGAAAAAATTGGAAAAAAGAAAAAAACGAGAAACATCCGAACAGGTCGAAATAAATCGTACATTGGATTAAGTTTTCAGTCCAAAGAAAAGACCCCAAGCAAGTAAGAAAGCTAAAACGCAGAGTGCAGGGATAAATGGAATAAGTCCTAAAGAGCCACGGTAGGAATGGAGGTAGATTTTTAGCGTATTTATTTTTGTAAACATGCCCAGTGACTGGCAGTGACTCAATTCGCTTACGCGAAGAGTCTCGCTATATTAGCTATAATAGTCATTGTTTACCAACCCACACCTCATTCCCAGAGTGCTCAACTGAAATCAAATTCAGGAGCTAATATATAAAAGGAAGAGGTTATAGTAGTTACAACGAGAGAAAGGTGTGTATATTAAAAAGAAGAGAATAGAGGTGCCGAAAACGTTTTTGGTTGTAATGTGGATTTAAAAAAAAATATTATGCTTTATTTTCCATAAAATTATTTTCAATCGAATTCTTGATTCAAGAAAGACATTCGGATTACTAACACAAAAACAGAGAATGCCTCATATCGAGAATATTTAACATTGAAAAACATAAGGAAAAATTAATTATTTTTAATATGTGGAAATCTCCGCCTTTTACCTGAAGACGGTCACGAGACCAGAAACACGTGTAGTAAAATTATGCAAAATAAAGCATAATATTTAAAAAAAAATGTCCATATTACAACCAAAAACGTTTACGGCACCTCTCTTCTCTTCTTAATATATATATATATATATATATATATATATATATATATATATATATATATACACACACATCTGTGTGGGTACGTGTGTGTGTGTACGTGTGTGTGTGTGCGTGTGTACGAGGCGGCCACAAAAATTTACGGCGGATACGCGATTTTCAACGGTGCTGTCAGTAGCTGTTATTTTTTTTCTAAAGAAATTTGGGAATAATATCTGCGTCGACGTAATACAAAGTTATTGGCTCGAAATATTTCTCATCCTAAACGAATCTGACCAAAGGACCAAACACAAAAATTATTCAGTTTACTTGTAAAGTGTTCTCTTATCGGTCAGGGAACATTCCATCACCCACAAGTATATAAATGAAATCGAATTTCCGATTAACAATAGAATCACAGGTCGTACTGTCCAGGAATTTACCAATAGAGCCTCACTTTCGTACACGCACACAAACACACACACAAACAGGTGTGCGCACACACACACACATACACAGACAAATGTCAAATAACCAAATATATTTCTGCGTTCAAACACCCGTTCCCATATAATCACAGAGTATAAGCAACGTTGAGCCTGGTCAGTACCTAGATGGGTGACCGCTTGGAAATACCAGGTGGAATAGATAGTGGTTCGGAAATCTTAATCGGAGATCCAATTCCTGTTGGGTTCGTTCTACTCCCGCTATGGGTTAATTAGTAAGACTTGTATCAGTGAGCCTTTTTTAAGTGCCCCACCCGCCAAATTGTACAATCTGAAATTATTTTCTGGCTTTAAATAACCTGGAAAGGGATGGTAAGCCGTAGAAAACGAATCAATTAATCCATTTTGGGATTTGGAAGGCACACAGACGCATAAAATCTGATTGTGAGAAAAAAGCCACATTACTGAGGAGGGCGAAGAATATAAGAAGAAAATTAAGAAGATAAAACATATTGATTGAAATTGCATTTAAAATTCTGAAAACCAAACTGAACACGTAATTGGAAAAATTTCCTTATACGTGTTGTCCTCCCAAAATTGGCATCATTTTGTAGTCTATTAAAATAACCAATTCACACTCAAATGATTTCAAATCTCAACTAAATGTGTAAAAATTAAGTGTTTTTTTTTTCTTTTTTCATGTTGAAGAATGACGTTCAGTAGAAAAGAAAAAGCATTTTGTGTATTTAGAATATGCTCGAACAGAGTCAAACACGTCTGTTCTAGAAAATTCAACAAAAATCCACCAACTGGAAAGCAGATTTAGACATGGTTCAAAATATTCAAGAAGGAAGGTTGTCTGTTCAAAGCAAAGTGTTCTGGTCGAGCACCAGTACTGGATGATATCATCAATCAGGTTCCATAAACATTTTGGCTCAAATTATTCAGAGAGGAAGGTTGTCTGTTCCAGTGTTCTAGAATACGATCATATCATCAATCAGGTTCCATAAACAAATAGAGCATCTATTGAAGCCTAGATTTCTCGTGTGACACTTTGGCGCGGGGAAATTTGCAGATTTGGAAATGGCTCAAATTATTCAGAGAGGAAGGTTGTCTGTTCAGGGCAAAGTGTTCTGGTCGACCACCAGTACTGGATGATATCGTCAATCAGGTTCCATAAACATTTGTGTGAATCCATAGAATACGTATAAAAAGAGCATCTATTGAAGCCTAGATTTCTCGTGTGACATTTTGGCGCGGGGAAATTTGCAGATTTGGAGATGGCTCAAATTATTCAGAGAGGAAGGTTGTCTGTTCAGGGCAAAGTGTTCTGGTCGAGCACCAGTAATGGATGATATCGTTAATCAGGTTCCGTAAACATTTGTGTGAAGCCCCAGAAAATTTGTAAGAAAAGCATCTATGGCTCTGGAGAATGTTACGCAAGTCATGCTACAGCGTGTTTGATGGGAGCTGCACTACCGACCTGATGTGTGCCGTGTCACAGGTGGTGCGCATATTGAACATTTGTGAAGCTTTATGAAATCATTTATAAAATTTACATCTTTTTGGATATCTTCGAATTTTGATAAATAATTTTTTTATTATTCAATATGAAACCTATTGAATTTTGTCTGCGTGGGACATATAGTTACTCTGATATTCACATTTTAAATGTGCTAATTTTTGGGGACCTGCTGTATATACTTAAACTGATATATGTACACCATAAGCTATAGAAATCTGGGAAAAACGTTCTGAACGTAATAAATAGTAAGTTTAATAGCTTCTTTAGTTTAATTAACTCACGGCATAACGGTTTGGATTGAGGAATCAAAGCGCCGAGTTCGAATTCCAGTCGAATCCATTACATTCACTTACGTGCTAATTGTTAGAACTTTTGACGGTCGTCTTCGAGTATAGAATCCAGAGGTTAGCAGTGAATATTTCGGAGACAGTAGGAAAGCGTAGTTCAGGTTAGCAGTGGATATCGTAGCAAAGTAGCAGAGCGTAGTTCTTCCTTCTATCATCTTCGCCTGTCAAGTTGGCACTGGTCTTTCCGGTAGGAAAACAAAAATGGCCGCCTTTATACACGACGGATACAATGTTCTGCGGCTTCTGATTGGTTAACCTTCCATTGGTAGACTATAAAGGAAGTTAAGTCATTTGGATTGGCTCACTAGTTACAACATATACACAAAAAACTGTAACACTAATACCCTTTGGAAAGGTGTGAATCCTCTTCGTCTCCCCCCAGGTATGGATAAATAACAGGACAGACCGGGTTCTATATCCTTAGATAGCAACTGGTCTACTGCAGAAAGAAACCTACTGGGGTAAAAAAAAAAAAAAAAAAATCTGCCTCGTCAGTCATCTATTGAAAGATACATGATCACCTAAGCTTGTATCACGTATGGCACATAACTGTCTGAAGCAAGAATTCTGAGGCTATTTATTCCACTAGTGCATGGCATATATACTTTTAGAGGTGTGGCTTGCCTAAAAGGTTAAATTCACCAACCCTACAATTTCTATTAGCCAAAATAGATTAGGTAAAAAGAGCCAATATTTTAAGGAAACATTATGCAGTAAACTGCTAATTTCGTTCTTTATTGTTACTGTATATGTGATAAAACCCCTAAGAAAGCAGAAATCCTTCTGGGCCGAAGTAAAGAATACCAGGATGTAGAAAAAAGAATTCTCAATAAACGCAGACACTAGAGTTCTTCTTGAATATTACTGTGATGCTCGAAAGTAATTGAACAAAAAAATAACACAATATGATCGTCAGACAATTTATTCAAAACTCCGACCTCAGTACTAAACATCTTATTTGAAAATTGGAAAAATACAAAACAAATTAAATGGATAGACGTTATCCGTTATTTTTCTTACTAAATTTGCTGGAATAAATATATATTTAATTACTCTCCCCCCCTCTCTCTCTCTCTCTCACACACACATACACACACACGCACACACACATATATATGTGTGAGTGTGTATAATTTTAAGAATCATGCGGTCAATTAAAAATTTTAATTTTAAAAGTATAGCCCAACGGGAGCATCAGGTCGAAACCGTATTCGTGTATTTTAATTGGGCTCATGATTTTTAAACTGCTTTACATGTTTTTATTTTTACTTTTTTTTTCTCATGTGTATTGAGCACTTTTTAATACTACTGTTCCCTGATTTATTTCAACTCTGACCATTAACCTTTGTATATATATATATATATATATATATATATATATATATATATATATATATATATATGTGTGTGTGTGTGTGTATGTGTGTGTGTGTGTGTGTGTTGTTTTGAGCTGAAATAAAATCTCATTGGTTGGAAAGGTAATTACGAAAATGAACATATATGGGAGGATTTAATTGACTTTTCCATTGGACACCTACTTATCCTGTGGTTTAAATGCATTTACAATCATGTAAATAACGATTGGAAACCAAATTAAAAAATAAAATGACTCACATGAGAAACTGATGAATGAATAAATTAGTCAATTGCCGCCCCATTTCTCTGTTTTGTTGGGTAGCTAATCTGAACGTTATTCTCGCTTCTGTGTTTGTAATTCGAAAGAAGAAATTTAGACGATTATATCGTATCGAAACTTATATATTTTGCATATAAGAGGTCAAACGTGAAATTCTAATAATCGACTGTCTTTTTGTTTGTTTTCAAAAGCTTCTAGACTCTATGAATTTAAGTGTGATTTTTCTGCATTTAAATAATTAACCATTTTTGTAATTTCTCTCGCACTTCTCGCCTGTGGAACTTTCCTCCGGCTTCTTCTCTCCTTAATAATATTCCCTTTTACTTATATTTTTAAACGCCCAGTAATCCCTCGCGTCTTAGTGGATTTATTGCCTTGCCATTTTCTAATATATACATACTTCGGCTGATCGCAAGTTCCATGTACAGATACGATTGAGAAAAGAAGCCGTCGATCTTCTTGATCAAGGAATAAAGTAATCAATATATTTGAGCTATATCATAAATTTAAGCCACAAACTTCCCATAATACAATCAGTTTCTTCGGATGCGCGAATTGCTTAATGGATAGCGATTCGCAATGAGAAATCGGTGTGTCGATTCGAATTCAAATCGAGTTTGCTACAGTCGCTTACGAGAAAGTACCATGTAGCAGGAACCCCTTTAACTCCAAGATATGGGTTAAATAGTATAACTTATATCCGAAACAAAACATTGATATATAAAATGTTAATGCAATATTCACTGTTAAAAATATTCTTACAATAAAAAATATGCTTCGGCTTTAAATAATCCACAAAGGGTTGATGCAGTACCCCTTTTGAATATCGGTGATCATGATTCTCCACAATTTCTTATTCATTGTGGCTTTGAGAACTGTTTGTCTACTTACTGTCTCTTTATATCCTACTATTCTATCAATTTAGACAAGGCCGTTGGGTAGGTGAAACAATGTTTCCATTTGATCCTCCTGCCTTAAGTATGTTATGTGTGAAATTCTCCAAACAGTCTTTTCTCATTATGTGTCCCAGGTTCTAATTTCTGATTCTAAATACACTTATTCCTTTTGTTTCAATTTTTCTGAAAATATCCATGTTGCTCACTCACATGCTCCGTCGATGGTATTCTCAACATCCTTCTGTGCAGAAACATCCCTGCTGCCTCAAGAATACTTTTATATCTGAGAGAAAATTCTGTAGCTTCCATATAAGAGGACCGAGGATAAATATCCGCTAAGCACTCTTTTCTTTGTTTCTAACGACATTTTTATGTTTCTTAATGTTTTGTTTCGATTTCGAAAAGCATCTGAAACTATTCCAATACGCCTTCGGATTTCGATGTCATCTTTTCCGCCCTTCACTACCTAGAAAGTCAATTTTTTTTATATGCTTGATTTTGACGTCTGCAATTCGTAGCTTTGACTCTTGCGCTGCTGGTATTACTGGGTATTCTACGTTCTTAAGGTTGATTGTGAGTTCTTTCTTTAACTAGCATTTTAGGAGTTCCAGGTCGCCCAAATAAACTCTTGGATCTGTTCTTCCTGCCAAATTCATGTATTCATGCCTGTGCCATTAAAAATACATATCATTATATTGTGTTCAACACAAAGCCGGTTTTAATAGGATTAACATTTCACACAAAACTTAATACGCTGCTTCTTTCACTTATTTTCCACCAACAGTATAACAT